AGGCTATAATTAAAATAATAGCAATTGAAAACTATTTGAATTTATAAATAAACACCAAATTGTATTGAGGTGATCACTGCTTTTTGAATCTAGCTCTCTTCCAATAATAATTTTTTTTTTTCTAAACTGTTGTGCAAACTACTGGAAAACATTAACTGCTTCATATTGATTTGGTTAGATATCTTAATCAGAAAGCACCTTTTGTGAAATGTATTTAAAAAGTTTTAATTGAAAAAGAAAACTCTCTTACTTTCTGAAACTTGGATATTTGTATAATGAAGACATAGCCACTCATTTACTTTCGCCAGGACAATGACTTTCAACAAAGGCTATGTGTTACAATCACTCGGAAAACTTTTAAAAAACATACCAATATCTTTGGGTTACTCCCAGAGATTCCAAGTCTTGGGATAGAAACTCTGCATCAGTATTTTTTAATTCCCCAGGTGATTATGATGTGAAGTCATGATGAAGCCCACTGCCTAAGATGAGTTAAAGTATTTCTTTAGTACTGAAATTACAAACCTAAACATAAACAATCAAAAGTAATTAAGGACACAGGGATCTATAAACATTGTGAAACTTTTAAAACTTTTATATTATAAAAAATTATTTCTTTATATCACAACTTATTTATATGTTACTAATTATAGAATAGATTGGAAAAATAGCAAATTTAATTACTCTCCATTTAAATGACAAATCATCTTATTATGTATTTCAATATCAGACATATAATTTTAATTTGTACACCCTTAATTACTTTTCATTATGTACATAAATATAGCTACACATACATTTATGTATTAATTTATTCATTCATCCATTCATTCATTTATTTAGGGGTTCCCCTCAAAGCCATTACCAATAAATCATACATTTTTTCTCCCTTAAACTTCAGAACAACCCTGGAAGGGAGGTGTTATTATAATATTACCTACATTTTACAAATGAGGAAACTGTCTACAATCACAGAATTACTAAGTCATACTAGAAATTTAATACATATTTGGTAAATATGTGTATAATAACAGATAGATGTGTACAACAGCTAATCTGTACACTGAGTATAAGCTTTTATCCTGTCTTAAAATCGTCTTTGCCAAAAGCTCTGTGAAAACTGAGCAAACGTCCAAATATCCTTCCACTTGTCATGTAAACATAGGTGGTACCTTAGTTCTCACACAAGGAAGAATATTAAAATATAGATCCCAGGGCCCAAGCCCAGGCTTTCTGAATCAAGCCCTGCTAGTGGGGACTTGGAATTTATCTATTTTTTAAAAACTTTTCAAGTAATTCATACTAGCAGCCAGGTACAGAAACTACTTGATCTTATTGCTCATTGCTGAGATTTAATGAGTTTGGGTCTTACTGATGTTCCATAGATAGGGCAAAGAAGCTTCATGGTCAGAATGGATGTGTTCCCAGCTACTTTCCCTTCTCAGGAGCTAACAGACAGCAATATTGTAGAAAATGGTGACTTATGGCTTGTGTTCTGAAGTCAGACAGAATTTTGCTGAGTCCCAGCTGTGCCACTGACAAGATTTGTTATGTGGGGCAAGTTACTTGATGCTTTAAAAGCCATATTATTTTTCTAAAAAATGAGATAATGATATCTTTGCTCATAGGGGTGTTGTAGGGATTAAATAAAAATAATATGTTCCTTCCTGCATGGCACAATGTCTGACACTTTAGACGTATACTATACATCTTACCTTGATTGAAGAAATCAGGAAGTATGAGATCAGGAAGGAGATAGAGCTCTGACTGGCAGTGTGTCTTATTTCCCCAGGTTCATTTATTTATCTTAAATTATTATTGCTCTAGAATAACTTCCCCTCCCCTCACCAAGTTAAACTCTGGGTAATCTCACACTTCATTATAATGTCCTTTCCATGGGAAAAAAAATTAAGTTTTCTGGAAAAAATAGCTCTGTGCTATTTCTACTGAAAAATATGGCAACATCATTCAACCCTTCTGCATCAATTCTAGAGTGTGTGTGCCACAAATAAACTGTTCTAGCTCATGAATATTGAAAGCAAATATTATGTAGTATTTTAGAATAAGAATTTTGAAAATGCATAATATGACTCCATCATATTACTAGTAATCATACAATACACAATGCAAAGTACAATTCATAGACCTGGTTTTACATTTAATTCTAATAAGTAAACTGATTTGACCCTGTTAGGGAAAAGTTGAAACTCTAATCCAATCACTAATCCAATCTTCACTGAAATAAAATGCAATGCCTGTCTACTTCTTTGGTACCTAATGATGAGTCTAAATAATGTATATGTTTTTATTTACATATTCAATAATGCAATGCTCTGTTCAGTGAATGATGTTCTTCTGCCACTTGGTGGTGCTTGCCAGTTTCAGAATTTGTTTCTTGGTGGCACTATAACACTAAGTACATAGTAAGTGGAACAAAATCACAGCATTACCATTGGAAAGGCTTTGCTTCAAACTGTTTAATAATTTAAAAAACCTCTGTGGAGGCAACTGAATTTTTTAACCAGTCACAACCAGTAATTAACTCCTTTGGAGTTTTAAGTTACTTTGGGCAAAATGTTTTAGAAGGAGAACATATTATTAGAAAGTATGCCAAAAATTTACTTAGCTGAGAATTCAATAACAATTTTCCTCTGCTAAGAGGGTCTGTAAAATTCTACTTATATAGCCAAGCCTTGAATCGTAGCAGGTCCTGTTTCATTATCATAATTACTGCATAAACACTTTTAAGGACTTTGCCTTTAGTTTTAAGCATGACTTATTTTCATAAGCCTGATTAGTTACCACACCAGCCTCGCTATGGAAAATGACATGTTCTCACTGTGTTCTGTGGAGTTGTTAAATCTTGATCTACATTAAGCTTGTATTTATGTTGCCGTCTCTGCTGAAAGGCTGTGGCGAAAGACATCTCTAATTCCTTGTTTTTGCAATGTGGGCTGGCAGCTCTATCTAATAGGCATTCCGTTTCCTTAAAGAATTTAGCTGCTCTGTCTAGAAGCCGATTTTCTGAAGCCTCTAACAGTCTGGTCAAATTGATCTGTTTTAATGGAGTCTTCGCCGGTGAGGAGCGAGATGCCACCGACTAGAATGCTGGGATCTGCTGCTTAATTGCCAGGAGTGAGAGACGCAGAAATCTTTGGAGGTGGGCGAGGAGGGGGGAATAGTCTCGGATGGAGGCGGAGATGTAAGATAAAGGGATGGGTTTCACATAGGAAAAAAAAAAAAGGCAGATTTCTTTGAGGCATGGAGGTGCTGCACGATCACATCTCTCAAAGGAGAAGTTATAAAGCAAGGAAGTGGGAGGAGGTTGCAGGTTAAAGTACTTAAAAGGATTGTCAGGGCACAATTTGTTTTTCTGGAGGGATCTGCAGAGGGTAGATAGTCCCCGTTTTCAAAGTGTATTAGTGCCTCCTTTAAGTGATTGGGAATGGACGCTACATTGCCCGATAGATGCTATCGAACACTGCTCTTCAAAATTGAGGGGATGCGGAATGATAGGGGGAAACGGAAAATTTTAAAAAAGAGAAAAAATAAAGGAGGATCCGAGGGCTCTTGAAAGCGATTCGGGAGGAGAGCGAGAGGGATCAGGAGGAAGGAGAGAGGACTAGAGGGAGGAGAGCAGAGAGAGAATAAAAATCCCGAATCACTGAACAATCGCACATGCAAAAAGGAAAAGTCTCCCTTGCAGAGTGTCCAAAACACTGTAACTGCAATAGTGACCCGGGTCGCGGGAGAAAGATGCTCCTCTCCATCCTTGTCCCGGAAAGCTCTAGGTCCCGTTGCTAGCGACCGAAATGCCATTAGGCTAAAGAGTGTGTCTAACTGCGTGAAGAATGCAGCAGGCGGAAGGCGGGTCCCGCTACGCCTTTTGCACTGTGCCTGTTGGAGCAAAAGAAAGACACGCGCAGAGCCAGCGACTCCCGCCGAGTTAGACCTCCTCGCCTCGCCCAGGTCGCTGGCGGTCAGGCAGAGACCCGCGTAAAGCGCCCGGGGCCACTACCCCGCCAGCGGTCAAAGTGAGCCAGCTCTAGGGGACGCCGCTTCCGGGCGGCTGCGCCCAGCAACCCACCCACTGCTTCTGCGGAGGAGCCGTCCCCTTCTCTCAGACCACTCGTCCCCACCGAACCTGACCTTCCAAACATATTGGACCGCACTTCCCAGGCGGCCACACGATTAGGCTCCAGGCTGGAGATGAGCGTGGGCCGGGGACTGGGATGCAAACCTGCGGCCGCTCGGGCTGGGTCGGAGCTGCGGGGGGCAGGCTAGGAGGAGGAGGAGAGGAGGAAGAGGAGAGAGCCTGCGAGGCTGGCTGAGCCGGCTCTGCAAGCAGCCTCGGGGTTGCAGGCTCCTGCGGGAAATGCTGCTGCTTGCAGGCCGGCCAGAGATATCCTCACACCGTCGCCTCTCATCCTCCCCTTCTCCCTGCCCCTGCCTAGAGAAACGTCCCCGGCCTCTCTGCAGCGACATCCCCATCCCGTATCCCCTTACAGCCCGGCGGCGCGCTCTCGGACGCCGGAGCGCGGGCGCCAGCAGGACGCCCTCTCCTCCCCGCCGCTCTCCCTTCCCTCCCCTGCTGCCGCCGCTGCTCCGACACCTCTGCCCCCACCATCTCCAGTTCGGAGAGACGCCACCCAACTGGCACCCGCGCTGGCGGCCCCGGGTCACGCAAAGAAGAGGGGCGCGAGTCTGGCCCCCGCGCTCGGCAGGGGGCGTCCTGGAGCGGAGAGAGAGGCGGCGGTGTCTGCGAGTGCGTGGAGAGCCCCCCGGAAGCCCGGGCTTGTCGGCCGAGCCGCGCCGCCTAGCCCCACTCGGGCCGCGCCTGGCGAGCTAGCCCATCTGTGGCATCCGCGGCCGCCTCCTCCTTGCACCTCCTCGCCGACCCCTCCCTCCCGGGACCTGCATCCCGCTCCACCAATCAGAGCCCGACTGCCTCTTCCCACGTGACCCCGGGCGGGCTAAGGACCTGCTGCTTCCCAAACGCCAGAGGGATGCGGGCGGCAGAGCGCGAGAGGCGGCTGCGGGGCTGCGGAGCGCCTTGAGTCTCCCTCCTCCCGGCCTCCCTGGGCTCCTCTCCTCTGCCCGGTGGACTGCCGCCGCCCCCTGTCCCCGGCTTCCCGGAGCCCCTCCTTATGGCAGCGGCTGCCCGCGTCTCCGGCGCAGCTTCTCAGCGGACGACCCTCTCGCTCCCGGGGCTGAGCCGGGTCGCTGGATGTTGCTGAAACTCTGGAGATCATGCGCGGGTTCGGCCGCTGCTTCCCCGCCCGGTGCCACTGCCGTCGCCGCCGCCTCTGCTGCCGCGGTCCGCGGGATGCTCAGTAGCCCGCTGCCCGGCGCCCGCGATCCTGTGTTCTTCGGAAGCCGTGTGCTGCTGCAGAGTTGCGCGAACTAGTCATGGTGCTGTGGGAGTCCCCGCGGCAGTGCAGCAGCTGGACACTTTGCGAGGGGTTTTGCTGGCTGCTGCTGCTGCCGGTGATGCTACTCATCGTAGCCCGTCCGGTGAAGCTCGCCGCGTTCCCTACCTCCTTAAGTGACTGCCAAACGCCCACCGGCTGGAACTGCTCTGGTAAGTCCAGAACCCGATCCCAACCCTTTAACCCCGCAGACGAACGCGCGCGTCCAGCGCCGACAAGCCTGCCCTGTAGCGCGTCCCCCATCCCCTAGCCGCCGTCCCAAACCCCTGAGACCATCCACCTCCATCCAGAGAAACGGGAAACTGTTCCTGCCCTCGGGGTGGGGGGGAGGCTGGTTCCGGGATGGGCAGAAAGTGCAGGTGTGGAAACCTTTGCGTGCTCGCACTTAAATTGGAGCTGCGAGTATTCTGAGATATGTTAAACGGAATGGTTTTCTGGATTCACTGAAAAGAGCACCAATCCTGGGAGAAACACTAAACAGAATCTTTTTCATCGTTAAAGAAAAAAGTCTGGCTAGGACGAGGAAGAAATAACTTTACGAGGAAAAACGAGCGAGAAATTAATAAATCAAATGGTGACTGCAGGAGAATCGCTGATTCCTGGCAAAGGTGCCATGAGGGCGCATTGAGCACTGGTCTCCCATTCAAGACCAGGTCACACAGATTCTAAGGAGCAGGGTTTCAAGAGAATCTCTCTCACTCTCTCTCTCTCTCTCTCTCTCTCTCTCTCTCTCTCTCTCTCTCTCTCTCTCTCTCTTCTCTCGCTGTCTCTCTCTGCGCCCCCGCCCCCCGCTTCCCTAGGCTGCAGAAAACATGATTTTTGCAGTCCAGATATGCCCCTCTCTTGCTTCCTCAAGCTCTTAGGTGGTTAGAGGGAAGTTGAGAAAAAGAACACTTTGCAGGTCTCCCAGGTCAGAGTGGGCATGACCAAGGCTGGCAGGCTCTGGCGTAGGCTAGCCCCGGGCGGAACCGACCTTAGTGGGTGCTGACTCCTCCATTTCTGGACCGTCTTCTGTGGAGTGTGGGTCAGGCGCTCTTCTTGCTTGCTGAAGACTCTTCAGATTCTGAACGCGAGAGCTTGGCAGGTTTCGCTCTGCTGAAGCTTCCTAATTAAATAGGGCCGGAGGATGGGAGTTCTGCACTCCTTTCAGCTGGCTTCGCGTTTCAGTATGACAGCCTGTAGTATACCGGGAGGAATTGTGGTGCGATTTCATTGGCATTTTAAACTCCATTAACATGCCTGGGTATTGTCCCCTAGGTCTGATCTGTTCTACTTTAAGCAAGTGTGTATGTAATTTTTTATCTTCTGTAAATACAATTCTGCTGTAGTTAAATGTGGCTCTGAATGAAGCGGCTTTCAGGAATGTATATAAGCCGAACTTTTGAGAGGAGGGAATGACCAACTGTAACTTACAGATTGAAAGAATATATAGTTCTTAGTTATTAGTGATGCAGATTTCAAAAGAAAAGTATTGTGCATCGTTCCAGTTTATCATTTTTAAACACAATTTGAAATTTGCAACCCTATTAGATTTGGGTCAATAGATTGTTCTGTTTGGGACAGTATCTAAATTCAGCATTTTTATATAAATTCAACATGTTTCATTAACTTATACCTGGTTCATCCGTGCATGTATGTTATTTTTGAAAAAATAAGTTCACTTTGCCTAATCACTTTTTAGGTGCTTTATTATAGGAAGATGAAACAGCTTGCAGAATTAATTTTTGAAATTGTTTGAAATGTTGAGGGCTTTGTACTCCAACATGCCTGGTTTGCTTCATCCCTAAGTATAGGATTGTTTTCACAAATAACTAACTTAAATGTGAAATTGGGATTGGCAATCAAGAAATTCATTATTAGCCAGATATCTTAAAGGGATATGCAGAAACTAAAAAGAATGAACTGGTTTTGCAGGCAGATTGTCAAGAACTTGGTACCCTGTTAACTTAGAGGTGATCAATCTTCATTTGAGCCAGACAGACCATCACTGTGCCTGTTTATCTTTATTATTGGGGCTTTGTTTCCTCTTTGTCTGGATAAATTCCAAATAAGGGGTTGTTTCAGACCTTGAAGCAAAAGAACAATTAAAGATAGAGAAATGGCAAAACGGCATTCAGAGACCATCACTAGCTCTTTTCAAAAATGTGGAGTTTGGGGTCATAAATATAGTTCATTTAATGAGCAAAAAATAAGGAAGCTAGGAAGCAAGTGTTAAGCCTTCATTCACCACTGTCAATATTAACCCAAGCTAATATAAAATAGCACTATCAAAAAAGGATATTAAAAGATAATTGATTAGAAAAGAATTATAAAAAATAGATATTGATCACTTAGCTAGATTTTGAGGTTATCAGTAAAGAGTGACCTTGCAGTACTGTTATGGTTGTTGGAATTAAAATTTAAGGCTATTCTTTTAAAGCATCAAGATCGTGCTTTTTTTTGTTAAAATTTATAACATTTTTAATGACTGGAGTGTTCTCTTTAAATTTGAGGTTATGATGACAGAGAAAACGATCTCTTCCTCTGTGATACCAACACCTGTAAATTTGATGGGGAATGTTTAAGAATTGGAGACACTGTGACTTGCGTCTGTCAGTTCAAGGTAAAAAGTCTTATATTTGCATCTTCTAATTCCTTAATGAGACTACAAAGCAGGGGTCTCCCTTTACAATCCATCACTTGGCAATTTATAGCTATGCAAGCTAAGAGGAAAGCTGGCACTAAGCAAAAGTACCGGCAAGAGAGCCAACAGATGTCAAGAAGACATACGCTTTATGGAGAAATGTATATGCCATGGTTATAAATGCCTCTGGTGCTAGAAGGCTTCAAATTGTGCTTGGGAATGTCAAAAGAAAATTATATTTCTTTGACCCTTCTAGCATACATTTCAAAAGTCAACTGACTGGGGATAATGGTCAAATAGTGGGTAAGAAGTGCAAGTTTGTACTTTTGTTCATTTTGATCCGGGCTATCAAATTCTGATCTTATTGCCCTGCATTTTAATGGTCTTGGCATTCATTATCCTGGCAATCTGGCTAATTTTTAAAACTACCTCCTTATAATGTTACTTCAAATCTACTGTGTTGGTTTTGAAATTAAGGAACTTTTTAATATATGTCAACTTTTTCATGAATACCACTTTCAATTAGAACTGAATCTCTCAGGAATCCAAAAGAGCACATAGAACACAAGTCATTTCATAAACATGAGAACAATGTACTTTGTCTTGTCTTAAAAACTTTTTAAAATTAAAAAGAGAGAAAGAGATTGCACCATTGGTATCATCAATACTAGATTATTAGTATCTATTTAAAGTAGAATCTTAATGTAATTGTTATAGTCCTTATGTAACAAATGCTTCCCACCCTTTAGTTATAAACCTTTTTCTCTCAAAATATTTATATACACATGTATACCTTCAGTTAGCATAGATGTTCTACTAATAGCCTATATTCACCCTTGAGTGTTTTTGAATTACTTTTTAAAATACTCTTGAAATCTGACATAAGATTCAAATAGCAAATATGCATATAAACAAAACTATATATGCGATGTTAGGAAAACTTTCCCAAGACTGTAAGAATTACCAAAGTAAAGATATAAAACCAATAAAAACATTAAACCCAAATTCCGACCTAAATATCTAGTTTAATATGTAATATTTAGAATTATTGATGAAAGTTAAATATTTTATATTGAATTCAACCTCCCAGTAGAGAGAAAGTAGTTTGCATTTATAGTTTCAGTGGCTTATAGATAAGCTAAAGCTTCATAGACATTATTTTCTCTTAAGAAACAAAATAAAACAACTGGTATTTGTAAAGTGCACCACCTCCTGGTGGGTAAGTATTGCTGTGACAACACTATAGTCTTTTCGATCATACTATAGTGTTAGAACATCTTCATGCATATTTAATATGCATGTGACACCAACTTCTAAACTCTCCAGCCATACTGAACAATGTAATTATGAACATGTAGAGATTATGAACATGTAAGAGATAAAGCATGAGAACTCCTCAATTCATACTTTCCTCAAATATTAGCTAAAGGGAATGAACAGCTGGATAAATCATTAAAGGCCCACAGGATTTTGTAGGGTTTTATTCCCTTTCAGTTTGTGATTTCTATAAATTTGTCTTATTTTCATAACCATGGGTAGACATAAGAAGTGAACTTATAAACAATATTTATATTGTATAAAATGAACCAAGAAGAATGTTTCCTCAAATGGAAAGCCAAGATTCTAAGATTTCACCAAGAGAAAAAAAGAAGTAGATAGAACCGTAAATGGATGAATGCTACTAAAGGAAAATGTACAATTTTCTTATTAAAGGAATTATGTTCTGACATTGTATACTGGATATGTTATGGAATGTCTAGTATGTCTTCAGTTTTCAGGTGCCACAGAAGAGTTTGGTAAAACTTCTATCAACAAAAATGTTTGTGTTTTTATACATTGATAAGCCAATTATATTTATCATTAATATCAATAATTATTAACTAAAATAAATGGAGGGGACAATGAATACAAGTTTAAATAATAAACTAACATGTAAATGTGCTTTTCCTGGTGCTTCTAGCATTTAAAATTTACTACTGCTATTAGTTTGTGCTTTGGAATAGTTTTCAATCTGGTGAAAGAAAATAAACATCTCCCTAGTGGAAAATGTAGACTTTGTACATACCAAGAATATAAAGTGACTGAATTAAGTTGAAGATCTAAGAAAATGTACAAGTTGTATGAAGAATCATAAATAGGGTATTTTAGGCTAAGAGTATCTTGATTCTATCTTTTTACAATATTTTCACATGATTTTGAGTTTTTTGGTATCTTTTTTTTTTCTTTTTTTGGCTCCAATATCAGATAAAAAGAAGAAATCCTGAAAATATATTTTTCTATTTACTATTCTAAACTCCTGTTTCTCCTGCATTTTCAGATACAAGCATGAATTCTCCCATTCAAAATAGGATACAGACTATCATCTTTCTACCTAGGAGATAAATTTCAAAGAGAAAGGGGCATATATGTGTATAGCTGTAACATTTTTCAATTTGGATTATTATGGGCTCGCTGAAGTAAACATATTAGTCTTTACTTCTCTTAGACAATTTTAAATAAACTTATTTCTTCTTTGCAAACATTTATTTCTCACAAATCAGTAAGATAGTTATTTTATTTTCCTTTTAAAGATGAAGAAATTAAGGCCCATAAATACAAGTAACTTACCAGTTATAGTGATGCTAGAGTAAGAACCTAGACCCTTTGACATCAAATAAAATTTCTTTCCAAAACATGCATACAAATGAAAATATCAGCAACAACCACAAAAGTACTAATTTATTGTATACAACTCTTAATATAAAAATTAATATAACTAATTCTTAGGCAATGATATAAGTTCCAGAAATGGTATACAATCTCTTGTATCTTGCCTTCCTATCTGTATACCAAATGATAGGCTGGCTAATCTGGTAAATCAATTATGAGAATGAAAATGTAAAAGCAGTAGATGAATGGATGGATGGATAAAAGGAAGAAGAAAGGGGGGGAGAGGGAGAGAGACACACATGTGGTTATTCATAGATAGCACTGGTCATACAATGATCAAATATCTCTTTATAATTTAAAAATATCATGAATTCTTATGTTTTTCAGGTATTATCTAAGTAGAATATTAAATATTTTCATTTAATAAGTCATGCTTTAGCTCTGCAAATGTTCCAGTTACTAGGGTTGTACAACAAACTGCTCAGAAATTAATTTAAGACAATGAATGTTTATTTTGTTGATGAATCTGCCATTTGGGCAGGGCTTTCTTTACAGAAAGAGCTCATCTCTGCTCTCATTGGTGTTAGCTGAAGTGGGTGAGGGAACTCAAAGATTTGGTGCTATACTCATCTCAGGGCTCACTCATATGTCTGGCTGTCAGCTGGTGACCTTGGTTCTCCTCCATATTGATCTCTTTTGTATAGGCTAGTCTGGGCTTCCTCATAGCACAGTGGCTGAGTTTCAAGGGCAAGCATCCAGGGAGGGAGAAAGAGCCAGGTAGAAGCTGTATCCTTTAATAACCTAGTCTGAGAAGTCACACAGAGTTACTTCTGCCATAGTCGCCGGCCTGTCCACTCTTAAAATAATTTTTTTACATTTAAGAAAATATAGTCACAGAGAAGTAAAAATTACTTATGGAATGGTCAAAGGATTGGAACATATGCAGGTTTTTTTATCTTTTTCTTTTTTGGAAGAGAAATACTATATCCCAAGCCATTCTTCCTAAGTCTTGACAACTGGGACTATAACAGAATTGACTTAACATCTGCTGAGCACCTTCTACATGCCAGACTCTGTGGAAGGTGCCGACAATATATAAAATATAAACCATACATAGCTTCTAGATGCTGAAATCTCAGCTAAAGAATCTTTATTAACCCAACAAGCAATAAATCACATGAAAGACTTCTCACATAATTGTTATTCATTTGTTGCAAAAATGAATTCCATATAGCGTGTCAAGTTATTGAATTCATTAGCATGGCGTGTAGCTAATTTCTTAAGCAATGTGGAAGTTTTGGAACAGAATCATTTTTTGGAAAACACATATTTGGAAAATAAACTTAAGATTTTTAAAACGTCTTAGGAAAAATGGAATCACTTTTTCCCCTGAGGGAAAGTTTGTACAACACAAACATTTATGGACCTAACCATCTGGGCTTGAGTCTTGTTTTTAATCTTGGCAGTCAACTTTGTGGACTTCAGCAAGTCACTGGGCAATATCAAGATTACCAATAAAAACTATTCTCAATAATTTGGCATATGTTATTGCAGTAGTTAGCCTACCTTAATGCTAAGGGTTATCCTGTTTTCCTTTGTTTTCTAATTCTAGAAATTCTATGTTTTGATGCTGATGTTAGATGATGACTTTGCTAGTAAAAATATGTGTCATAAAATGCAAATAATTTACATTTCTTTTTATAAGTGAGTATTCCAAAGTATTTCCTGTTTTAAAAACATGACTTCTAATTGTCCAAATGTCCCAGGTAACCATTTCAAATAGGGAAACTAAGCTATAAACATACTAAATATTTAATTGTTGAGTAATATACACAAGTTCCTACCCCAAGGCAGTGAGAGAAACAGGAGAATTTAGGACTGTTCTCCCACACATGGGCTCTAATGATTTAATGCATGCTTCCTCCTTGTGTTATTCGTATTAATGAGAGCAAGTCTTGGTACTAGGGGCCAAAAACATCATGCTGATAATCTACAGTTAAGCTCTTTCAGCTCTGTAGAAATCTCCCTTTTGGCTTGTGCATGGAACCTGGCAGCTCTGTTTTTAGCACTGTTCGTATTTGGCTTACTATGTCCCTTAGAAGCAGCATATGAGCACTTTATCAGTTTATTCGATATTTTAAGATGCATATCAGCATTGTGTACTAGCACTTGACAGAGATAATAAATACTTCCTACTCCCCACTCCCAGTCCACTGATCTACATTTGAGTAATCTGCAGATGTAGATGATAAGCATAAATAAATTGTAAGGGTTGGAAAGAAGGAAATGTGGACCCAAATAATCTACACATAAAATATTGTAACCAGAGTTGGAGATAGAGATTAAAAGGGAACCAGAGGTAAGAATGCTAGGACTTAAGCATAAGATGTTAACTGGTCCAGCTGTAGACACAAACTATGACTCTCTTCTGTCTACTGAAAGGGTCTGAAAATCTATTGGCTATAATATTACCTGCCATTTCCTACTTTTCTGGTCTTTCTTCCATGTGCTTAGATACTATTGTAGTGTTAGTAGGTCCCCATATGTACTACCTGCATTCTCCTGTCCTAGGTCCTGAACAGAGCACCTTTATCAAGCTTACAGTCACTTACAGTCACTTGCCTTCCTGGCCATGGTTCAGACGTGTTGTCTCTTCAGTACTACTCACTGGAAAATTCAGCTCTTTACTGGCGTTTTGCTTTTTTCTTCTTTCTTGAGTAGTAGGAGCAATGCTCAGTCCTGTAGCAGGTCAGTTTTTAGACATAAGCTAAAAACATATTTGGAAAGTTCACAAAGACAGCCCTTCCACAGTTATCACCTGATCAGAAGTGAATTGCCTATTGAATTAAAAATTAGTGAGTGAAAAGTTCTAATCAAGTCAGCTTTTAAAATATAATCATATAAATAGACTGAATCTGGAAGCCAATAGAGTAACTGTAGAAAGAAATCCTTATATAAAGGGCTTATAGAATGTCTAGGTTATAAATTACAGAAATTAAGATAAAGAAAATTTCTAAAATATGTGCTAAATCATCCTGTTAGCAATTATGGTCATCATAATATGAGTGTCATACAATTTGGATTTGCTGGTTGGAGAACAGTAGATAACAATTAGCAAAATATTATATTAAGTTTTTCAATAGCTTATTTTTATAAATAAGACATAAAATAAGACTCATATCAGAGAACATTGATTTACACAATTTATTTATTTGTTAGGATGATTAAGCTGTTATTCTATAAAGGCACAGAGCGAGAGTTAAATAGCTGGTTAGGAATAAGGAAGTGCAGACATTGTAAGGAAATAGAGTAAAAAAACCCTCAGGTTTTTACCAACCATATATTGACATATTGAGAGCTTACCTTTTTGTTTTGTATAAATCCTTGAATTGAAGTTTACTTGTGATAGAGTTTTAGGTTTATCATATATATTTAAACTTTCCCAGTCATCTCACTGGATCACTAGCTTATTTCATATGTGTTATGAATTTACATCACATAAAAAACCCAAATATTTTAATTAAAAGTAGAACACAGAAAGGTATTTTCACATGTATCTATACATATGATTTTACTTACCTTCTGGCATAGGTGAGCATTTATAAATAATCATCTTGATCATTATATTCATTATAATTAAACAATAAAGTACATCAGTAGTAGTAATCATGAGATAATCACATCCCTGGTGTAATTAGCAAGTATAGGACAAAGCCAAGTATTTCTAATGCCTTAGAGTGTGATTGTATTATGATGACTATACCCCATAGGTTGCCTGATTTCCATTGTGAAATGTGTACTTTTTTTGTAATGAGGTTGTTTTAAGAATGAACTTTTCTCTTTATGAAATATCTATTAATAGTCATATTTTGGAATACTCAGTAAAGTTTACATATATTTTAGTAGTTGTTGATTTTTCCCCTGTGTCCCAGTCTTCTTTCTACCTAAACTGTATCTATATCAATGTCTAACAATCTAAAGATATATAATAATAATTAGTAAATAATATCTTATCTGAATATTTAGAAATTTGTAAAGATTAAAATTCAACAGAGAAAAGGCAACCAAAGAGTAACTGGATTCTTTGGTATTTCAGCTTATATACTATCTATGTTCAAAACACAGTTAGACATTACCTGTTTTTGAATACCTTGAACATTATTATGTATTTTGATTTTTTCCATCAATTCAGATATGCCATATATTAGAAAAATAATACTAAATAGTATCATACATTTCTTGCTATGTCTCTTTTGTGCTACTTCTCCATTCACTTTGTTGGAATTGCCTGACCAATTTAGATGCTTGTTTTTCCCCCCCATCTAAATCAAATGACTGTTGGCTGACTTCAAATTGCCTTTGTGTATCTTTGAGTGATGCCCTTACAAAGTCAAACTCTTATGGGATATAATAAGGATCACTGAAAACGCAGACAAGTGGTTTCTTTTGTCAGTGTTCTGTTCAGCATGTCAGAGGGATGCAAACTCCCATACTAACCATAGGCGTACATCTGTGTGTTTCCCAGTGCAACAATGACTATGTGCCTGTGTGTGGCTCCAATGGGGAGAGCTACCAGAATGAGTGTTACCTGCGGCAGGCTGCATGCAAACAGCAGAGTGAGATACTTGTGGTGTCAGAAGGATCATGTGCCACAGGTATGTATGTGACCGATGGTCCTTGAAACCTCCTGTATAGATTCTGGATTCAGAATCCATATCTTGCATTTCTGTTATCTACCAATAAATAATTCAGACTATATGTTAACTAAACAAACGTCTAATTCTTTTGTATAAAGCATGCACCATTCTTATTCTTTATATTTTTATTTTTCAAATCACTTCTGGAAGAAAGAGGAAATCTACAATAAGGACACTAGATTAAAATACGTGTGTTATTTCATGAAGTGCAGCTAGCTGAATAAAAGTCAAACATAGTTAGAAATCTAGATTGACCACTCAGGTGCCAAATAAATAGAAACCTGTCTATATATGGATAAAGTTTGTTTGTTTGTTTTGAACAATAGCATTATCTGCTGGATGGCAGCTTTGCTGGTTTGAGTTCTGAAGTTAAGATCTTAGCAGCTCTACGCAATGCTCTCATTACCATTTAGTAGATTATACTGAAGAAGGCATTGGTGATGGAAATAATTTCTATCGACATCTCTCTTTTCTGACACAGTTAACCTGAGATTCTACAAAGCATTTTAGTTGTATTATACCAAGAATGCTATAAAGAAAGTGAGAAGGAAGAGTGGCTTCATATGCTCTTTTGCTTTTCATGTTTCCCTTTTTTGTACAGTGGCTTTTAGAGCTTAACAGCATTATAGGCAAGCAAAAAAAAAAAAAAAAGAGGAAATAAAGCCTAGCTTGAGTTTTTAGGTTAGGCTCAAGATATCAAACCTAAGAATCTTTAGTGTTCAATGATAGTTGTAATTAATGGCAAAGTAGCATCATTCTGAAAAGTCATAATTTATGAGAATGTAGATGACATAAGCAGGAAAAATAATAATGATATGAAATATAAACTTCCTCCAAAAATGGGAATAGAGGATAGTGTCAGGAAAGGTTTATTTTATTCAAAAGTGCCTTTTCAATAACAGGTATTTCTATTCTGGAGTATTATATTAAAAGTTATGTGTTCAGTGGTTGGGGCAGGGTGGAAAACGGGCAAAGAGAAAGGTTTCATATTCTTTAAAAGATTGTCTTAAGCCTATTGACTGTTAATAATTGATAATATTCCAAGTGGTACTGGTGACTAACAAAATTTCTCAGAATTAGCAGAAGAGAATGGTGTCATCTCTCATGAGCAATGATGTTTGTTTTGGTCTTGGTTTTTAAGTAGTCTTTTCTCCTAAATAATTATTTGCCTGAGATATGAATATCCTTCCTGGAAGGGTGGTCAGAAGGCCAGCTGGACTGGTGATCCACTTGCTTCTTATTTGCTAGAGCAAACAGATCATTGCTGGTTGATCTGTGAGTGAGAAGTAATGAATAAAAGTGACAGCAACATGTGAAAGTCATTGGGCAGACTTCCTCCCTAGACAAGGAGGTAGAGCAGCATGCTACTCTCATAGTAAGGTTGAGGGAACTAGGAAGAAAGACAAAGAACAAACTGATTATGAAAAATCAATCATCCATACCTAAAAATGTGAAATGGCACTTTAGGACAAATTTAATAGGAAAAAAAAAAATGGTTTCTCAAAAACCAGGAAGGATGCAGGCAAATACCACAGAGTATTAAGGAAAAGATTCGCTTATTCAAAATCACAGAGGATATCTGTCCTTCTCTGACAATGGCCAAATGAGGATCAGCAGGCAAAAGTCATAAATAACAGACCAGAAGTTACAGTTATGGCTACAAATGTTTCATAGCAAAATCTCTTTTTCTTGCTTGCCAACCCCCAAGTTCTCGTCAGCACATATAATCACATTCTCCTGATTCATTCAAATCTTTCCATTCTAGTCCCTGGCGTGCTGGTTATACTATGAAAATAAATACTTAGCCAAGTAGAAAATTTAATCACAATTGAGTAATCCGTCCTTAGCTCATTCACATACTTAGATTTCTGCAGGATTTAATTAGTAAGTCAGTCTTTCTGAATGCATCTTCCATTGACTTATAAATCTAAAAGGGTTTTGATCTGAATAATGATGAAGGAACAAAGTAATTTTGATTAACCAGGTCTGACTCTAAATAAATTGGGGTTCAGACTTTTGATCTAAAAGGGATTCTCATGCTATTCTTTGTAGATTTTCCATTGTTTTTTAATGGTGTTTGACACTGAATGGAAGTAGCAAGTTATGAGCTCTGGGAATAAAAGGCAGTAGAAGATATAACTTTATAGTTAATATATGTCATTGAACTTACAAATATTTTTTTTTGTCCAGAAAATGGTTTTGTATTGGGCAATCTGCTCAGTGGTCTTACTATTAGTTTAACTTTTTGCCTTGTAAGAAATGCATTGACTAGGAGCCCAGAATCAAGTCCAACAGCACTACTTCTTTTCTTAGATGTTTCTGTCTCACTAATAAGACTTTAGTAGGCTACTTATCTCTAGTTTGCCAAGATGATTCACCTTATAATAGAGAAAACATTAAAGCTTCCCATAAGTATTTCATAATGATACCATGGGCTTAAGTGATCATTTTTCTAATCTATTCCTCCTTTCTTCCCTAGCTATTTAATTTGGGTCAAACCAAACACTAATTGTCTTAAGGACTATGCCCTTTGAATTTTTTGAAACATATATGAGAAATACAATCTAAAATACTACTGCCATTTTTTTCTGGTTTTCCCTAACTGTATGTATTTAATAGAAAACCTATGGAGAAATATAGGCAAGATGTTTACTCTACATTTTAATTATTGTATTCCAGACAATGCTTAAACATTTAAAGTATGCTATTGTGCAGGAAGCCTCAAAATAGCCCAGTGAGACAGATATCACTATATCCACTGAATAGAGAAGGCATAAATGCAGGAAGCTTGAATAACATTCCTTATGTCATTCAATGAGTAAGGTTTGAAGTTTGGAACCCATAAGCCTTTATGCATTTCCGCTTATATGCATGTAAGTATAGAATGATGAATAACACATTATCCTTGACTTATAGAAATTTATGGTCTTAAGAAATAAAAAAGAAACTACATATATTTAACTAAAATATAGGTAGAATGTGCTATCACTATAGTAGTACAACCTGTTATATAGCTCCTGATAATTACAAGAAATACTGAATTAAGCTTTCAAATTAATTCAAATAAAGTCAATTAAAATTTTATCTGTGAAAGTATATAAAAAGAAACTTGACAAACACTGAGCATTCAAGCACTGTTCTGTCCAAAAGAGATGGTGCTGTGACTTATTATCAGTTCACTTGGCAGAAATATTCTATTATTATGGGTTGAATGCATCAGCCTTTCTTGATCTGTTATTGTTAAACTGTCAAATCATGTTATTAAAATCCTTGTTTGATTCCACATTTACTAAAAATATTTTTTTTTATAAATTGTTTTACCAATTAACTTGCCTTTAAAGAAAGGATATGCTGACCCACAGGCATATATGCCCAGTCACATTATTAGTTAATTAATGACTTGACATTCTAATATAATACAGTGTTAGGCCTTGAAAATTTAGTTAATGTGAGTCTCCACCAAGACTGACAATTCGAACTACTGCTCCTTCATGGCAGTGCTAATATCATAACATGACAAAATGGAGGACTGCTGAGGATGGGTTCTCATTCATTCTTCCGTTATGTGTCAGCCTTCTGTTGCTTTTCACACACCATGCCTCCTTTTATGTGGTGCTTGTCAATAAAGTGCCATGGAGGCAAGCACATAGAAGTAATATTTTATTTTAATTGGCCTCACACATCAAACATGAATCCAGAAAAGAGACATGTGATACAGGTCTTGAATCCTGGTTGAGATTTCAATATGGGATGAGGGTATATCAGACAGGGAATACCAATATTAACCTTATTTACCTATATTAACATTAAAAATACATAACCAACTATAATTAGCATGAAAAGAAGTGGGGAGGCAGAGGGAAGATGATGGAAACTCAATGGTGTTGACGTCAGCAAGAAAATTGGGTGTTTCTGGGAACTGAGATCTCCGAAATAGACAACTTTGACCAGTTGTAATTATGTAGGAGAAAGGGGAGAGAAGAAGTGGAGAAAGAGAAATTCAGAAGGGGGAGTATTATTTTTTCCACCAACATCACTTAGTGTATATTCAATTTTAAGCACAAAGGCAAAAACTAAGCTCACTTTTCTAATGATTTCAAAAACAAAGGATGATTTAGTCACAGATAGAATCATCCACAGTTGTGGCATTTGTAAAACTTATTAGCAATTATATAAAAAGATATTTATTTTTAAACTTTTTCTCTTTGTTCATAGGCAATTTGCAATAATATAGGCCTTAATTATGTGTTTATTTGCTGCATATATGAGGCTGTTTAATTTCTAAAACTTACTGATTGTTATTAGTATCTCCTTTTCAGTATATTTTTTGAAGGGGAGAAAATCCAGCCTGATTAAATTAAAACATGAAGGATTTTGCCTAGCCAATATTAGGAAATTTTCCAAAGCTGTATAACACTTTTTCATAAAAGTTTTGGAATAAAAATGTTAGAGAATTTATTTTATAAGTTATGCTAATAGAACTCAAATTAAAGTCATGTGAATATATACTATCAATTAAATATTAGTATTTTTTCAAACAATGATATTCCAGTCTTAAATTAAGAAAGTAAACTTGAACTTTACAAAGTTATAAATATTTCTGAATATGTTTTTCAAGCAAATATAAATTGTTTTTCCCCCCCTACAGATGCGGGATCAGGATCTGGAGATGGAGGTAGGAGTTGCCTTTTTTTTACACATTTGAAAACTTATTGGTGGATATTGTAGAAATTTACTTATATATTTTTCATTAAAGATATCTAAAAAAAATTCAAATTTTGCATTTTAGGGAAGGGGAAAATATAAAAAATTTCATTCTCCTTCTTAAGTAACTGTATATACTATGCAAATTATTTAGCATACTTATGAATAATACTCTATCTTCATTTACTCTTCTTTGCTTATTTATTTGTTTGTGTGTGAGTTATCTTTGAGATAGATATGTATAATGTCAAAACTTCCTAAGAGAATCCTCTAAATATGTTTGACAGACAGAAAGAATTCATGAGAAAATCATTTAACTATTAGATTTTTAAAATATGTAATACTGCTTTTAATTACTAGGTACTAACACATAGCTAAGTATCATGTAGACAAAGTCTTAATTATCAAATTTATAATTTGAAACTGAAGGAGCTTTAGTTCATAAAAGTAAAAATGGTGTAATTTAAGCCAATGAAAAGATATTATCGTTTCTTCCTTGATTAAATTAATCTGTAGCTATTTTTACTAAAGTGGGATATATGTTTTCATCATTTAGTTTTGATTAAGGAAGTTTATAAGAGAGAGGTAGAAACTTTAAAAATTTGATCTAATGTATTTACTATCAAATAAAGATAGCATTTATAGATTGAACTTTCATGTAAATGTCCCAAATGTTTTTCCAAATCAAATCTAAACAGAATTCTAATTTTATACATACAAAGTAAAACAAAGTAAAAACCTAGATATAATTTCAAGGTTAATAAAAAGAGAATAAAAACATAAACATTCTCTCAAGGCCTTGCTTAGGTTGTGTAAAATAATTAAGTATATGATTCAAAGTAAATTTTAGTTTTTAAATTTAGAATTTTATGAAAGATAAGTAAAAGAAGGTCTTGGGTTCAGGAAAGCAGATCTTTAATGCATCTTTTATCTAGTTCAAGATATACTTGAAAGATTTATGAAGTTGTCTTATATAATGAAAGGCTTAACTAGTTCAAATAAGCAATACCCAGAGAACATAATTAGAGCAGCATATGAAGCACATTTTTTTTTCCATAAAGACTAAAACTGAACAGGAGTCAAGACTCAAGTATAGAATGTATTTCAGCATCACATGATGTTGGACAGTCCTTTGATGTTTGGACAGTCTTTACTTCTAAGAAATTAAGGGATTTTTTTCATTCTAGTGATTAATACAATTTTCCCAAGGAAGCTTCCCTAGAGGTTTTGAAAGAAGAGCTTAGAAGAACAAATTAAATCTTAAAAAAAAAAAAAAAAGAAAAAAAGAAAGAAAAAGAAAGGGAAAAGGGAAGTTCCCTGAGTAGATCTTTTACCATTGGAATATTAAGAGATCAATCAATTTTTAAAATGTTGCTTTTGTAGGGAAGTAGTTTCTATGCAAAATTCTATATATTTTCCAGCTGATTAGTTTTATATGTAGACTTCCTAATTTGGCAGACATTGTGCTGAGATTGAACTGTTCCACTGTTTACCCAACCACTCTCATTAATTTTCTAGCATCTTTAAAAGCAAAACAAAACAAAACAAGCCAGTTCACAGAACACAGAATATCTTTAATTTCTCTTTCTGTTAAAGCATTACCATATAATTTTTTTCTACTTGAGTCTCCTATCATACCATATATCATTTCTTTATTGTTTTTTAATAATAAGACCTGGGTTCTGTTTCAGATACTAGTTCTCAGTTTTCATTCATTGTTATTAGCACATGCAAGTGAAAATAAAGTTGAACTCATCATTTCTTTTATATAGCATTTATATTGAACTCTTTGGTTCATTATGTTATCTTGTGATATGAATAAGGCTGACTTTTTTAGGAAATAATTTTAATCTCATAAGTGATATTTATAATTATTTCATATCATATAAGTGATACATCAGTTGGAACCCACTTTCTTTTCTATAGTTGCTCTTTTTCATTTTTCCTTTTTTTACTCTTCCTTTCAATTAAAAATGCTTTTTATAGTAGCTTTAAGGGAATAAAAACTTCTTAAGAAGTATATGCTTTAGAATAAAAGAGTATATAACTCAATTAATTCTGAGTTTATTCTTTTAAATAATTGCTATTCTGAAAATCATGGTAAATAACTATTTGCTCCTAGCTTCATAAACCTTTAAAAAATTAGATACTGAACAGTTCTTTTTTTACTGAATTGCTTTTTTTATAGTTTACATGTTACTTTGCTCTGAAATACAAGTTTGAATTTTCTTTAATTTTTTTTGCTCTCTTACCAGATGCCAAAAATGCTTAATAACTAAAACTTAAAAACCTAGCTTAGAGCGACATGCACAAATTCAATTCACATTTACATTGGCTTATACATAAGATATATTTGACTTGCTACCTCTACTATCTAGTATTTTGATAGAATTCATATTACCAATAGGGACCAGGGTCAGTTTCCTTTGAATTAACCAAAAGTGATTGAATAACCTGTGATCGTTTGGCTAATCCAATAATCGTAACTAGTGATTGTTCTAACTAATCTCTGTAGAATATATTCTTCATAATGTGTATTTAGTTAATAATTGGATCATCTTTGCAAGCACTTTGGTTAATGGTTATTTTTCTAATTTCTTATTTTAACAAAAGTTAGTCTCATTCCTAAGTGGAATACATTGATCTGAATAATGAAGAAAACAAATTTATGATAAAACATTTATGATATGTGACTATTATCATAAATGATATCATTAAACCTGCACATCTAAAATCATTTAAAAAATAAATCAATTATTACTTTTTAAGATTGTCCTATATTTTTTAAATGAATGAATATTATATTAACAATGAAGACTAAACTTAATTATTTTAAAAATAATTTAATCTTAACCCATTTCACAAGGGTATATCTGTCATTTTTACTCCATTTCAGGGAAAATTTTTACAATTTAAAAGGGATATGAATGCCTCATAAAATGTATGTTAACTTGTTAGTATACATTTTATAGAGTGTTTAAAAATCTTTAACTCTTAATCTGTTTAATCAAATGAAACAATTAAAAGGGTTAAGTTTGTTTAGGTGAAACACATTTACTGTGTCTCTGACATGATCCACAAGTGTGCATTCATTCATAAAGATAATTTGTAGAGTAGTAACAAACACTTCATATAATCTTAAAGATTGGCTTTTCCCATTTCAGTGACTGTATCCTCTTATTAAATGTTCAAAAACTCAGTAATACCTCAAATCATTTTGCATTATTAGTTTTGAACATAAGACCTGCTGTTTATAGAACTGTTTTCAAACAAAAATGTTTGGTTGCAGTGGTGTCTACATCAAATAACCTTTTTGGATAGACTTACACTTAAAAAATTCAGGATAGGCCAGGTGTGGTGGTTCACACCTGTAATCCTAGCACTCTGGGAGGCCGAGGCAGGCAGATTGTTTGAGCTCAGGAGTTCCAGACTAGCATGAGCAAGAGGGAGATCCCATCTCTACCAAAAATAGAAAAAATTAGCCAGGCACAGTGGTGCATGCCTGTAGTCCCAGTCACTCCTACTCAGGAGGCTGAGACAGGAGGACCGCTTGACCCCAGGAGTTTGAGGTTACTGTGAGCTAGGCCAATGCCAGGGCACTCTAGCCCAGGCAACAGAGTGAGACTGTCTCAAAAAAAAAAAAAAAAAATTCAGGATAACCTATAATTAACTAGGAAGTATGCTAAACAATATGAGAAAGCGATTGGAAGAAGAGGATTGGTGTTTCAAGTATTTATATATATGAAAGTTTAATGTTGTAAATAAGAAAACGGGTGTGTGTAGGAGGAATAATAACCTCTTATCCACCCACAGACTTCCTTAAGCAACAAATACTGCAGGAAAAAGAAGTATTAAAGGAGCCTCTTCTCAAAATCCAGAAGTGTGTGGGTGGCTAAAGAATAATTTTTAACCCCTGCTTTTCTGTCAACATCTTTCAGTCATATTATAAAGGCAAGACTATGAATATTTTCCAATTACTCTCTCTTAAAAATATTTCTGGGTTGCTTAGGTTTTTACTAGATCCCCCCCCAAAAAAAATAAGTCCAGTAAAATGAAAACTAATTTTAACTATTAAAATAATTGTAAATATATTATCCCCTTGTACATGTGGCAGAATCTACAATTAAATTTTTATAACATCTTATGGGAAGTTATATGATAATTTTTATAAAAATAAAATGTATCTAAGATACACAAAATAAATACAATTGGCATATTTTTATTTCATGAGGTAAAAGGAAGCACTAAGCCTATTTATACAACTTATATAATTATATATAGTTTTAAGAGGATTCTTTAATAGATTAATATCAGATACATACAGCAATAAGTCAAATTAAACTAATGTCTATCATTTGTATAAAAAACCTGATTTTTATATGAATTACTAGGTAATTGTTATTATGATAACTTTGTTGTAGGAAACCAGTTGATGTATTGGTTTTATTTAATGAAAAATTTCTAGTGCAAATTATTTTTATATAATGTTAGGATGTCCATAATTAAGACATTTACTTCATATGCATCTTGGATAGAACAAAAAAGGTTTACATTGCAAAAAATTGTAGATCTTAGGCTGCTATTTCTGCTTATGTTGCTAAAACTGGCAAAGTATATGGTAAGAACTTTGAATCATGAAAATAATTTTTATAAAAATCCTTGTCTTTCCAAGTGGATTAGTTAAAATTGAGGAATTCGGTTGATTTGAACAAGCCTAATATAACTGTGGCAAGATTTCTGGAGCTGTAATGATGAGTATGACACAGTTTCTTTCACTCAAGGAGAGATTATATGTAACATTTCTTCTCAGCACACAATGGGAAAAACATTCTGGTTATGAAAAGAAAAATAATACCATGCAGAAACAAAATGTTAAATATACTGTAAATAACAAGGAACTGAATATTTATGTCATGAAATATTTTTATATAAGGTTAAGTGATTTTTTCTGCCATGTTGCTGCACTCTTTC